TCATCTTTTTTCCCAAGAACAGCACAACTGTGGAACACTCTCCCCCTTTCGGTCTTCCGTCCAGCGTACAACATACTTGTTTTTAAACGCGGAATCAATAAGTTGGTTCCAGCTTGAATGTTTCCCATACCTTCCTACTTACAGTATATCTTTGGATCATGGGGTTTACCCCTTTTGCTTTACTCACGTTCGTTTAATAAAAAAAGGTACAGCATTTATGCAGCCTACATATTATGAGCTTCAATACTTTTGTTGAATTCACTCAGGTGTACCAAAAATTGATTCATAAATAGACTAAGGGAAGAACTGCTGGCAAAAGATGGTCTAAATTGTACTTACGATCGGTCTACATGCACAAGCTCATCATCATCATCATCCGAATCACTGGTAAAATGTGTAGGGTAATGGTCTTTGAAATTAGCATTATCGCTGAGTAACTTCCTTTTTTTGGATGGTTTTGCGTTTGAGGGAACTTCATCCTTAGCATTTGATTCGGAAGACGAAACCTTTTTGTGTTTTTTGTTGTTCAGTGGTTTCTGTTTGGATTCAGGACACTTGTTGGGGAGACTTGGGGACTTGAGAAAACGGACGTTTTTGGAGTGCAGGACCACCTGAGAAGGAATTTGACTTTCGCCGGCAGTAGGCATAACTGTATTCTTATTTAAAGAACGCTTAGATCTATCTGGGTCATGTTTTACTGCATCGTTGATCTGAGACCGCTGCAAGCTGGAGGAATCGGATGCATTTGGGCGTTCAGATGTAGCACTTTTGGGCTTTTTACGTGAATGCTTACGGAACTTGCCAACTTTTTTCCTTGTTTGTACTTCTGATACGATACCAACATTTGCCTTCTGGTCACTCGGGAGCTCCTTGGAGCCGAGGGAAGTATTGTTTTCAATGTCATATTTAGTATCTGTGTGACGTGACTTCTTGCCGCCAATACCTTTGGGTCCCGATATAGCTTTACGTTTACGTGAAACTTTCGGAGGATCCATTTGACCTGTAAAAGAGAAACTAAAGTTGATCAGCAGACACATCGGGTACGGAACCACGATAATTGAAAAACAGTCAAAACGCAATATTTACAGTTTAACGGCTACACACTGTCTGTTCAGTTCAAGCTTACAACCAATACTCTGATACTGTGATAATGTCTTTGGTTGCTGCCACACAAAAACACTAATAGGAAAACGGATGTGAAAAACTATGAATGACATTGCAAATAAACATCTCAGATAACTATTGGGTGCAAATTCTGACTTAAATGTTCGTGACACCTGAGTGTTATATTCAACAAAACTTCAGTTCTATTCATGGATTTTCGAGGTTTCCAGTGATGCTAGTAACCTAGGTTCAGGAACCTGTACGCACAAAATGGGTTCTTTCTGTTGGTCCACACCAATCATGCAACTGTCTCTCGTGGCCCGAAGAAGTTGCTTCAATGAACCGCACCCTAGTAACTGCTTGGGAGGTGCGTTAGACCAAGTGAGGATAACCTGGTTTCTTGCAACAAAGGGATTCGAAACTAAATCCAAGTGCGTAAAGTAGGTCGAGTAGACCGAGCTGATGGTATCGTATTCCAGATCCAACGGCAAGAAAGGTAGTCTGAATTCAAGAGCATCACGGTAGAACAACCATACAGCCTTGTGGGGCGCGTGATAATGTAAAGAGAAGGGGTGAAGCCTTGAATAAAAGTCAAGTGATACTGGCAACGTCACTCTTATCAAATTTTCATGAGGTGCACGAACTACAATCACCCACACCGTCCTCAGTGTGGCAATGGTCACCGGCTCGATTGGGCACCTTGGACGTTTGACCCCGTCCGCAGGGCGTATGATCCGATGAACTGGACACCAGCTACCAATGGATTGCGGTTTTCGCACACAACCCCACTGCCTTTCGAGTCAGACTTTGGTTAGCCGAGGGCTCCAGTTGTGGATTTCTTAAGAAAATTCACCTGCCTTGGCCTGGGCAACCTGGAAGTATTCAGTCCAAAAGCCAATCATGGAAGGTTTTTCTTTATAAAGATTACTGTACCATGATTTGCTTGGCACAGTCTGTTCTCAGAAAAGTGCGAAATATAATATATATAAATTCTCATGAAACCCAATGCTGAATCTGTTCGCCACCCTATACACTTTTCTATCCACAAATATGTTTCACCACTTGTCATTGTTTTAAACCGTGCGTATTATGGATCACCTGACAATTTGGTTTCCGATATGCACTGACTCTGTCCTCAACTTGTCGGACCGGGTTGTTTGATTTTATTAGGATTCGTCCCATGTCTCACCCATGCGTCACACTGACCTATAGGCACACGTACGCCTCGCATTATTTCACTTCTCGCATAACGAAATGGTAAACTCCCTAGTCTGCACTTACAGTTCTCGGTTGGCACTGATCATTTCAGTGGTTCAAGCACACTCCTTGTAAAATGCCAGGATTTGAGGTGAATAGTTTATGCAATTGTAATCCTTCATATTTAGTATATGTATATATATATATATATATATATATATATATATAACACGTCTGAGTTAAGATTGTATGCCAAACAAATCGCAGTACAATATTTTTTATAAAAAGAAAAACCTTCCATGATTGGCTTTTGGACTGAATACTTCCAGGTTGCCCAGGCCAAGGCAGGTGAATTTTCTTAAGAAATCCACAACTGGAGCCCTCGGCTAACCAAAGCCTGACCCAAAAGGCAGCGGGGCGGTGTACGAAAACCGCAATCCATTGGTAGCTGGTGTCCAGTTCATCGAATCATACGCCCTGCGGACGGGGTCAAACGTCCAAGGTGCCCAATATACCTCGATGCTCAACTGAGCCGGTGACCGTTGCCACAACCGTAAAGGTGTGGGTGTGGTTCGTACGACTCCTCTTGGTTGGTTTGAAATCAGGGTTTTTGGCCGACTTCCCTAGGTGAACCGCCAGTGGTCCACCAACCCGGTTATATTTACCGTACCACATTATTATTCGATACTGTTTGGAGTTGAATAAACCTGAAAAACATTTAGACAGCTTCTGAGGTTGTTCATTACTCAGCGTTGGACTAGATATTCGTACGGATTTAACACTCCAGAAACTTTCAGGAGTAGCTCTATGCTGCGGCGTTCCCGGTAAGCGATAAACGCTGTGCTTTCCCGTTAGACAGGGTGGGAATAAGGCCTCTCCTGTTGTCGGGTGTTGGGTGCGAATAGTTCTTCTCTAAAAGAGGTAATCGCTCTACACCGTCTTCGATGACTTGGTCACGTTTTGCGTATGCCTTTCCATCGTCTACCCTTCTGTGCTCCTTTTGCACATGCTGGGCAGGGCTGGAAGAAGCGCCGCGGCGATCAGACCATGACATGGAGTAGTACGAAGAAGCTTGCTTCAGCTTTGGCTTCGGTTGGTGCAGCCCGTCTTCCAGGTTGGGGCCCAATGGATGAAGATTGTCGTTGGTTATAGAAGCTGAGATATATGGCTCAGGATAGAAGTCAGCGGTGCGAATGCTGTACGTTTTGCCTGTTGAAGTCCCG